ACCTAACCACCCCCCAGGACCAGCCTGCCCCTATCCTCCTGGGAGAGACTGGCCCTCGAGGAACCGAGTATTGATGGACTGGGGGCCAGTATGGGGTGCTGTGTCCCTGCACCACACAGGAACCAACACAAAATGGGAGTGGGGGAGGGGGCCCAGGGCCGGACCCCAGGTCTGTTGGCTGCTTCAGCTTCCAGCACCTTCTTGCCTGTGAAGCATGAGGATGGCTGCAGCGGATACCCTGGGTCTCCTCCCGGGAGGAGCCCCAGATGGCACAGCCTCACCCGGGCAAGACACTTGCTTCAGAGCTGGGCTGGTGGTCCCTCCTGGGAACCTCAGACTTGAAGGGACCATCAGGCTGACGGCAGGGTCAGGGTCAGGGTCGGAGCAAAGGACCCCTGACTGCGGCCGCTGGCCCTGCCACCTGGCTCGTCCCTCAGGTCCACACCCCACGCCCGTGCCCTGCCACCCATCTCTGATGTGCCCCGACGTGCGCCTGCTGGGCCTTCTGTGGTCACTCCAGGTGGTCAGAGCTGGTGTCTGCCACTGCCAAGAGGGTCTCAAGTAGCAGCACCCCTGCCCGCCAGCCGTGGGCACCAGCTGCCATGCCCACCAGCCCAGGGGTCTGTGTGGAGCAAGGCCACGTCCCCCTCCATGTACCCTTCTCATCTCCTATACTAGAGAGGGGGTGACCGTGCCCCCGACAGGCCAGGCCAGTAAGTGCATGTCTTCCGGAGGTGGGGCTGCAGATGGGCTGGGATCTGCTGGTGTCCGGCGCTGTCCCCACTGGCCCTGTGGGCAGACTCCTGTGTCCCCCAAGAGGGGGACAAGGCGGGCACAGGGGGGACAGGTGGACACTAGGGAGTGACAAGGTGGGCACAGGGACAAGGCGGGCACTGGGGGAACAGGTGCAGATATACAGAGCCTGGCTGACCCGGGGGCTCAGCAGGTGCCTCGAGGGTCCCAGGCCCACTGATGCCAAGCGTCACCGCAGCCTCAGCTCAGAGGACCCGCAGCACCCGGACGGCTGCCGCACCGCACACTGTCAGAAGCCTTGGCCTGGCCCCCGCGGCTGCGTCTGGCAGAAGCCATCAGAAGTGCTGACACAGAACTGAGGGTGTCAACGCACCCTTGGCGCTTGGATGGCAATTTCCAGAAGGAGCCTGATGGCCGGGGTTATGCAGAGATAGCTTCAAAGGCTTAGAAACGATACACTTTGGAAAACTGCCCCCAACACGTGCGGTCCCCAGGCTTCTACGTTAAGGAGAAGGGGAGGAGAAGCCGCCCCGATCCCAGAAAACCCTCACCCAGGATGGCTTCCCTGCAGGGCCTGGTCCCAAGGCCTCCGAATCTGCTCACAGGGAGGCCGCTGCCTGGAGCTGGACGCCAGGGAGGGACCTGGAAGCCTTTCCCTGTGGGCGCTGCCCACCTAAGTCGCCATTTTAGCCTTTTCAGGTTTGGGGGGGGTTCCTTCTGGGGGTGCAGCCCCTTCTGCTGAGGCCGACGTGGCCCCCACCCCCCGTCCTCACTTCCCACCACCTTCATGCTGTGCAAACCCCAGGGGCCGGGCCTGGCCTTCCCCAAGGTGGTGGAGAGGCGGGACGACAAAACAAATAAAACCCAAACAAACCCGCTTAGCCCGCAGAGGCCGACGGAACGGAGGCAGAGGGGCTTCTGGGGGCAGGTCCTTCCCCACCTGGAGCCAGGCTGGGCGCGGGGGGACGGGCGTGGGTGCCACCCCCTCGGCTCACCGGGGAGCCCGTGGCCCAAAAGGCAAGTCTCCGTGTGCTATGAAGAACCTTCTGGAAGCAGGAGCCGGGAGGTGCGGGGCCGGAGGTGTGAAGGAGATGCAACAGTGAGGCGAGCGTCGGGGTCAAAGTCCATCTCTCAGTGCACAGAAGACGGGGCACCGCAAGCTTTCCTGGAACCCAGGCTTGGGGACAGGCTGGGCAGGGCGCCGGGAAGGCCAGGGACGAGGCCCCCAGCCCGCAAGAGTTGGGCGAGGATAGCCGGGCGCAGGCAAGAGCCACCCTGGGCGGGTCCCCAGGGGTCCCGGGCGCGCTCTGTGCAAAGGGAAGGTGGCACGTCCAGACGCCGAGCCGTCCCTGAGACTGGACGGCGGCTCGGCCTTCCCGGCTGGCAGCTCTGGGGCCCCAGCTCCTGGGCAGCAGGTGCCAGCCTCCCGTCCCGCCGGGCTGGGCCCCATACGGTCTCGGCTTCCGAACTGCATGATCGGGCCCCCGGGGCCTCGGGGAGGTCGGAGCTTGGAGTCACCAGTCCGCATGGGGCAGGGGCGCCAACTTTACTGACAGACACATGTATGTACACGCGTGTTACGGAACACGACACACCCGTAGGGAAGACCGGACGCTCACCATCCAAGGGATAAAAAAAAGCACCGCGAGCGGCATGGAGGGCCCAGGCCGCGTCCACCGGCCGTCCGCCCGCCCGCTTCGGGGCCTGGCGGCAGGAGCGCGCTGCCCGGGCGCCGGTCACGCGACGTCCACTCGTAACCTGGCCAGCAACTTCCTCCTCGTCCTCAGCGGCCCCCGTCCTCGGGGCTCCTTCCTGGCCACAGAGGCCCCGCGAGCCCTCACACGGTGACCTTCTCGATCACACCCTCGGCGACATGGACGTCGTCCCCCTGCACGGTGACAGCTGCCGACTGACCACACATGTGCTGGTGGTCCTTCCAGTCCTGAAAGGAAGGACAGGCTCCGTGTTACGGTTCAGAGTGAGAAGGCTGTGCCCGGGAGTGGGTGTGCACGTGCTGAGCGGCCAGCCCTCCTGGGGCAGGGGGCTCCCAGCCTCGCCCACCCTCCTGTTTAGGGACCCGCTCCGAAGGCAACTACCCAGGATGACCCTTGAGACACGTCCACACTCTGATCCTGCTGCTTCCTCCCTGGGATCTAAACGAAAACACTCACACCTGCAGAGGAATACCTGTCACCGATGTTGCTGCCCAGCCGTATTACTTATCATCGCAAAAGTGAAAGGACTGCGCCGGAGCCAGCCACGTGTCCACAGAGGGGCTGGGAGGCCACGGCCCCCAGGGAGGTCGGGGAGGACGTCCACCCCCCCGCCCCGCAACGCCCCCCGTCAGGGTGGGAGCTGCCATCGCCCGTTACGGGCGGGAAATGGAGCCGAACTTGGCCTGGAGCAGGGCTCGCTCTGGGGGCCCGATGGGGCGTGGTTAGTGGAGACACGGGCCCCAAGACGCACGGAGAGGTTAGGGTTTGGTGAGCCATGACAAGACTTGAATGAACATCACACACACTCGGAAGAACAGAGAAAAGCAGTGAGCCCCGGAGGGCAGGGCTCCAGCTGCCTATCTTCGTGCTGTCCTACGTCTTCCAAATTTTCTACAACGTGTTGCCTTATTTTTATAATAAAAAAGTAAAATTTCAAATCATTACAGGCATACCTCAGAGACATTGCGGGTTCAGTTCCAGAATAAAGCAAATGTAGCAATAAAGCAAGTCACACAAGATTTCAGGTTTCCCGGGGCTTATACAGATCACTTTTACACTACACTGTAGTCTATTAAATGTGTGACTGTACAAACCTAATTCAAAGACACTCTATTCCTAAAAATGATAACCTCCACCTGACAAGGCAGGGCTGCCGCACACCTTTAATTTGTAAAAACACAGCATCTGAGAAGTGCAATAAAACAAGGTCTGCCTGTATATCAAAAGAATAAATTTTAAAAAATTTTTTATTGAAGCTTAGTTGATTTACAGTGTTGTATAATTTCTGCTGTGCAGCAAAGTGACTCAGTTATACACATATACTTTTTCTTCTGCACATTCTTTTCCATCATGGTTTATCACAGGATATTGGATATAGTCCCCTATGCTACACATGAGGACCTTGTTGTTTACCCATCCTGTGGATAATAGTCTGCAGCTGCTAATCCCAACCCCTCCCTCCCCCACCCCACTCCCTCTTGGCAACCACAAGTCTGTTCTCTATGTCTGTGAGTCTGTTTCTGTTTTGTAAATAATTTCATTTGTGTCATATTTTAGATTCCACATATAAGTGATATATGGTATTTGTCTTTCTCTTCCTGACTTACTTCACTCAGAATGCTAATCTCTAGGTCCATCCACGTTGCTGCAAATGGCATCATTTCATTCCTTTTAATGGCTGAGTAATATTCCATTGTATGTATGAACCACATCTTCTTTATCCATTCCTCTGTTGATGGGCATTTAGGTTGCTTCCATGTCTTGCCAATTGTAAACAGAGCTGCTATGAGCACTGGGGTGCATGTGTCTTTTCGAATTAGAGTTTTCTCTGGACAAATGCCCAGGAGTGGGATTGCTGGGTCATATGGTAATTCTATTTTTAGTTTAGTAAGGAACCTCCATACTGCTCTCCATAGTGGCTGCACCAATTTACATTCCCACCAACAGTGTAAGAGGGTTCCCTTTGCTCCACACCCTCTCCAGCACCTGTTATTTTTAGACTCAAAAGAATAAAATTTTAGTTTGTAAATTACCTGACTATGTAGATTACCTGACTCTGTAAGTCTATACAGTACGTAAAACTTCATGTGTGCTGGGCTCAAGTCCACAGTGTTTCACACCATACCTAAAAATTAACTCAAGATGGGTCATAAATCTAAAAGTAAGAGCTTAAAGGGAGTTCCCTGGTGGTCCAGTGGTTAGGATCCGGCACTTTCATTGCCATGGCTGAGATTCAATCCCTGGTTGGTGAACTAAGATCCTGCAAGCTATGCTATGCGGCCGAAAAAAAAAAAAAAAAAGAAAAAAAAGAGCTAAAATTATAAATGTTTTAGAGGAAAATAGGAGATTTTCCTAACCTTGAGTCAGGCAAAAGTTCTGAGATATGACACCAAGAGCATGATCTCCATTAAAAATGTTTTTTAAATAAACTGGACTTCTTGGGACTTCCCTAGGGGTTAGGACTCCATGCTTCCACCGCAGGGGGCCCGGGTTTGATCCCCGGTCGGGAACTAAGATCCCATAAGCCTTATGGCAAGGCCAAAAATAAAAAATAATAGATAATAAAAATTTTTTAAAAGTAAACTGGATTTCATCAAAATTAAAAAAACTTTTGCCCTTCAAATGACACTATTAAGAAATAAAGAGACAAGTCACAGACTGGGGGAAAGTACTTGGAAATCACATATCTGATAAAGGACTTGTATCCAGGATATACACAGACATCTCCACACTCGATAAGAAGAGAAACGATCCCATTTAAAAACGGGCAAAAGATCTGAATAGACATTTCCCCCCAAAAGATATACAACGCCCGATCAGCACACACAACGATGCTCAGCACCCTTAGACATCAGGGAGATGCAGACTGAACGCACTGATGTCGCTTCACACCCGGTAGCAGGGCTACGACCAGAAAGCAAGAGCCAGCGCTGTGGACACGGATGGACCCGCCACTGGAGGGGGTGCAGTCACTTCGGAAAAGTTGGGAAGCTTCTTACTAAAGTTAAACACAAGTTTACCATATGACTCAGCAAATCCATGTACGCATGTAGCCAAGACAAACAAAAACCTGTCTCCACCCTGGAGCTCGCTCGTGAGTGTTCACGACAGTCACATGGCGGGAACCACTCAGATGTCCGTTGGCTGAGGACTGGAGGACAAGACGAGGTCCAGCCACACCGTGGACGCTACTCAGGCTCCACGTGGATGAACCTTGAAAACACGCTGGTCAGAGGAAGCCAGACGCGGGAGACCACATGTTATACGACTCCTGCTACGTGAAATGTCCAGAAGAAGCACATCTACAGAGAAAGAGATTCGTGGTTGCCAGCGGCTGGGGTGTGGGCCGAGGGGGCTTTCGGGGGTGATGGAAAGTTCTAAAACCAAATTGTCATGTTTGCCCAAATGCAAACTTACTAAAACCCACTGAATCGTACCCTTAAAATTAGTGGATTTTATGGTATGTATTCTACCTCGATGAAGATGTAAAACACACACACACACACCTGACACGGGATTTGCAAAGAAAATAAAGTCTGCACGTAAAAGCCAAAATAATTCATGGCCCTTGTCCAACTTGTAAGAAGGTGAGTAACATTAACTACCTTTCCAGGTCTTTGGGGAGCACACAGAATTCTGGGGAGCACAGTTGGCAGGCCCAGAAGCTGTATTGTCGGCACCACCATTTATTACAAGGAGCCCAGAGCTTAAGTTTTTTCAGGTCCTACCGAGTGTTCACGATGGATCCCACGTGAAAATTAACGGTTTTTGAACTTCACTGTACACTGATTTTTGTAAATATTGGGTTGGCCAAAGAGTGTTTTTTTTCCATAAGATGGCTCTAGTAGCGTTTAATTGTCTTTAACTTCATTCGAAACAATTTTGTTAGACTGTATTGTGACAGCTGTCATATCACCATGCATTTAAAAAAAGGTTATCAGGGCTTCTCTGGTGGCGCAGTGGTTGAGAGTCCGCCTGCCGATGCAGGGGACGCGGGTTCGTGCCCCGGTCCGGGAGGATCCCACGTGCCGCAGAGTGGCTGGGCCCGTGGGCCATGGCCGCTGAGCCTGCGCGTCCGGAGCCTGTGCTCCGCAATGGGAGAGGCCACAACAGTGAGAGGCCCGCGTACCGCAAAAAAAAAAAAAAAAAAAATTGGTGAATTTTTGTGTAGCCATTTTAATATTGAAGGAAAAAAGCAACATTTTCGGCATATTATTCTTTACTATTTCAAGAAAGGTAAAAACGCAGCTGAAACCCCCCCCAAAAAAGACTTGCACAGTGCATGGAGAAGGTGCTGTAACTGATCGAACGTGTCAAAAGTGGTTTGCGAAGTTTCGTGCTGGAGATTTCTCGCTGGACGATGTTCCACAGTCGGGTAGACCAGTTGAAGTTGAAAGCTATCAAATTAAAACAATAATTGAGAACAATCAACGTTATACCCATGCAGGAGATGCCGACATACTCAAAATCTCCATATCAAGCCTTGAAAATCATTTGCACCAGCTTGGTTCTGTTCATCGCTTTGATGTCTGGGTTCCACATAAGTTAAGCGAAAAAAACCTTCTTGACTATATTTCTGCATGCGATTCCCTACTTAAACGTAATGGAAACGTTCCATTTTTAAAACAAATTGTGACAGGCAATGAAAAGTGGATACTGTACGATAATGTGGAACAGGAGAGATCGTGGGGCAGCGAAATGAACCACCACCAACCACACTAAGGGCCGGTCTTCACCCAAAGAAGGTGATGTGTATATGGTGGGAGTGGAGGGGAGTCCTCTATTATGAGCTCCTTCTGGAAAACCAAACGATTAATTCCAACAAGTACTGCTCCCAATTAGACCAACAGAAAGCAGCACTCGACGAAAAGCATCTGGAATGAGTCAACAGGAAACGTATCATATTCCATCAGGATAATGCAAGACCGCATGTTTCTCTGATGACCAGGCAAAAACTGTTGCAGCTTGGCTGGGAAGTTCTGATTCATCCGCTGTATTCACCACACATTGCCCCTTCGGATTTCCATTGATTTTGGTCTTTACAAAATTCTCTTAATGGAAAAAATTTCAATTCCCGGGAAGACTGTAAAAGGCACCTGGAACAGTTCTTTGCTCAAAAAGATGAAAAGTTTTGGGAAGATGGAATCATGAAGTTGCCCGAAAGATGGCAGAAGGTAGTGGAACAAAACGGTGAATACGTTGTTCAATAAAGTTGTTGGGAAACATGAAAAATGTGTCTTTTGTTTTTACTTCAAAACCGAAGGAACTTTGTGGCCAACCCAATAAAACCAAAGCCTATGCCTTTATCACGGCAGCGAGTCACAGGAGCACAAACCTAACACAGTCAGCGGAAGAAATGGAGTCTTTGTCAACAAGGTTATACCTGAAATATAACTGCCCAATTCACCAAGAGAGGTTCCAAGACGGCAGCTTGCATTTAGACAAAGTGTTATCTGGCTAAAATGACTCCATCAAGAAATAAACCCACGAATCTTCCTCTGATGGTTCAAAGTCAGGGAAGAGTCACCGATCAGCCGCCCTCTCGGATCACGAGCCAGCAGAAGCCCGTCCACCCCACCGGCTCCTCCTGGCTGCCTGGGCTCCTCCCAGCGTCCCCGAGCGCAGCAGGCATGCGGGCCCTCTCCTCAGCACACGAGCCATAGGTGACACCAAGGAAAGCAGACCTGCGGGTCTCTTTCCCAAGTCTCCCGCCCCGGGAACGGGCCAGGGCTCAGGAGCGTAGCTGGGAGCCCCTGGACACACCTTCCGCGCTGTGCTGACCCCTGCAGACCCCCAGGAAGCCCTGAGACGCAGAGGAGGAAGATGCCACGTCCCACACACCCTGGTCTTGGGGGTCATTCCTGCCCACCTCCCTCCCGAGGACATCTGAGGATGGGGCGCTTTGGGAAGCCTCCAGGCACAGGGTCCCCTGTGCAGCAGAGGCTGTGTCCGCAGATGCAGCTCCAAGTCACAGGCACCAGGGGTGGGATTTTTTACTATTTGTCCACCCGGCAAGTTACCTTTTTTTTTTTTTTTTTTTTTGCGGTACACGGGCCTCTCGCTGTTGTGGCCTCTCCCGTTGCGGAGCACAGGCTCCGGACGCGCAGGCTCAGCGGCCATGGCTCACGGGCCCAGCCACTCCACGGCATGTGGAATCTTCCCGGACCGGGGCACGAACCCGTGTCCCCTGCATCGGCAGGCGGACTCTCAACCACCGCGCCACCAGGGAAGCCCAAGTTACCTTTTTTAATCGTGGAAAGTTTCTAAGAGGAGAGGATAACCCCACAGGCCCCAGTCAACGGCTTGGCCCCTCACTCTGAGTAAGGGTGAGAAAAGTGGTAAAAACCTGAACTAGCAACTGCTACTCCAGAACACTCTTTAATCTTCTCAGAATCAGACGCCTACACGTACAACCGCACTGACTTTCAGGGTCTATGACGAGGCGTCCAGGGCTGGGGAGCACTGACCGTGACAAGGTCAAGGTCACTGGGGAGCAGCGGCCTCCATGGCCACGGCCTGTGTGGCTGCCTCGGGGCTTTGCCGGAGCCCAGGGACAGTGCGGAGGTGGCACGGGGGTGGGGGGCCTACCTTGCGCTGGCAGAAGGTGGAGCAGTAGTTGACCTTGTGGCAGCCGGTGCACTCGCTCAGGGCCTCCCGGCCGCAGTTGACACAGAACTGCTGCAAGAGGACACAGGCGTCAGTCGCAGGGACAGGCGACCCGCGTCCCCGCCCCCCGCTGCCCAGATGCAGGGTGGGCACCTGCTGAGCGGGAAGCAGGGCTCCGGATCACACCGATGCGCCAACCTTGCTCCAAATACCAGGGGATTTCATTGCCACCAAGTACGTGTAGGAAACCAAACTGAGGAAGGCCAGGATTCTCAGTTGTCAGGATCGTCTCCTGAGCGGTCAGGCCCTGCAGTCCCCCAGCCGGACCCTCATCCACAGCCCAGGCACCCCCGGCCCAGCCACGCAGCTCCATTAGGTGGGTCTTCTGTGTGTCTTCCCCACAAGACGCGAAGGAGCCACTCCTTCTAAGCAGCTAGGGAGGGGGCTCCAGTGGCACCGCTAGCGCTGGTGTGTGCAGCCGTGACCCACGCTGCCCGGCGCACCTGGCTGCACTGACTGCAAGCCAGGCCCCTGCTCCCAGCCAGCGGGTGAGTGTGTGACTTGCACACCCATGAGCCACACCAGATGCCCGTTCATAACACCGCTACCCCCGAGAGTATATGCAAAGCAGCAAATTGCTTCTTGGTTCCTGTTCTGGATTGCAGCTCCCTTCTCTGCCCAGCGCTGACTGACACGCTCCACCCCGAACCCCCGCTACCCGCCTCACTCGCTTCAGGAAACACGCACATTACGGGGACTCTGAGATACTACTAAGTTAGCTTGTCCACTGTCCCTACTTTAAAGAACAAAATACTTACAGAAAAAAACCGAAGTCTGTAACCAAACATAGAAATTCCTCCAGGGAGAGCAAAGGTCTCACAGTTAGTGGGAGCAGAGGTGCGGCTGCCTGTGAGGCTGGGGGCCCCATGGACCCTCCTGCCTCTCAGCTTGGAAGTCCTCAGGGAAGCGGCCTCGTGTCACACCCTGTCCCCCGCGAGCCTGCGAGTCCCGCTCACCTGGACCTGCCATGTTGGTGCTCCTGGCACCAGCACAGTTCTTAGAAAACAGCCACCGCTCAATAAATACCTCTTAACTGCATGAAGAGCCTGTGTCGTGAGTACACCTTGTGAAGCAGGAGTCGCTCTTGTGCGGCAAGAACTTCCGACCCCGGGCTCCCAACACATCCCCTTGGGAATTACTTCTTAACCCAAGCTAACCTGGGGCAGGAGATCTGGCTCAGACACGCCGGCTGACACACAGACAGAGACGGATGGCCACAGAGCCCTCGGGCTGTGTCTGCACACACCGGTCGGACCCACTGCTTCCCTGCTGCCAGCCGAGAGCGCCCAGATCTTGGTTCCTAAGAGCATTCGTTCTCCAATAAAGGAACCAGTTCTCCCTGGAGAAACGGTTGATTCCAGGGCTGGGGCAGGGAACCCCCAAGATGGGCCTGGAGCGTCTTCTAGCACCAGAAAGGAGGGAGGTGCTCTGAGCAGCAGGTAAGGGACGTGGGAGCCGACTGAGAGCTCCAGCCGCCAAAGCCAAACCGGATGAGCAAAACAAGTAACACGGGTGCTGTGAGCCCCTCTTGATAGAAACAAAGGTACAAACAAATGTACAAGAGACAGATCCCCCACGGAGAAGAATTCTGGAAATATTCCTAGATCACCGCTGTCCAGGAGGCGGACCGCCACCCCGGGTGACTAAGGGAGGAAAAGGGGCAATCACTCCACAAATGGAACCCTCCGACCTGCCCCAAATGCGCATGTGCTGGGCCTGGGCCCTGGGGCCCTGGAGTGAGACGAGTCCACGAGGGGGGCCGGGGGCTGATAAGAAGAGAGAAGCCAGAGACCTCCCCCCGCCCTGGCTCGGCCAGGAGGCACGTCTGCAGCCTGGAAGAGGTGTCACCGGACTGACCCGCGGGCACCGGCTCTCTTCCAGCACTGAGAACAGCGTCTGCGGTGCAGCCAGAGGCACCGTCCAGACCGCCCGCCGCTGCTACTCTTCGGGCCACAATTCCCTCTAGTAAAGGAAGTTGGGAAGATCATCGAAGGCCTGAGAAGGAGCCGGGAGGCATGAACAGAGGCCAGAGCACAGGGATGGGGCCCAGAGTGCGCGCGCTCCCCCAGCCAGGGCCGTGGCAGGCGGCCCGGTGCCCTGCAGCCACGTGGCTGGCTTGTGCTGGATGGACACAGCGCCCTTGAACGGAAGGGCGTCTGGTCTTCCGCCCTGTTTAATCTCTGCTGAGCTAACTATATACACACAACACAAATGCCCCATGGTTAAAACTGGCAAAATCTCCTTAATAGTTCAGCAGGGCTAAAACGTGACTTTTCAAGAAATTCCACAGACAGCGTCCAAGCAGGCAGCCCTGCTTCCCCCTCTTGGCCGCCAGCACCTGCGCCCTCCCAGGGAGCCAGGGAGCGAGGGCTCAGCCTCCTCCTAGGGGTCCCGGGGCCTCACTCGTCCGGTCCTCCCCACCAAGCCCCAGCACCCTAAGGAGGCTGCCGTGGACAGGACCTTCCAGAAGAGTTCTCCGGGGCAGCCCTCCCCCAACCGTCCAGCTGGGGGGCTCCGTCTCACCCTGGCGACGTCAGGGTGTCCAGCAGCCTTTCCACAACAGCCACCGGTGCTCCCCACCTGGTCTCCTGGCTCATCGTCCCCCGGGCCCCGCCGGCCGCTTCTCGCTGCCGCCACCTGCTTCAGGGACACGTTTTGCGTCCCCTCACTCACACGTGACTCAGGTCGGGGCCTCTCAGCCCCCCCGAGCCCCCTGAAGCCCCCAGAGGATCCTGGGGAACAGGCTCTCCGAGGAGTCTGGTTCCCAAGAACCCAGTGTCGAGGCGCTGTAGTCATCACGGGGCCACAGGGATCAGACACATTGCACGTTACGAAGGGTAAACACACAGGGTGCACAGGGTGGTCAACCCACGTCTGCAAGCAACTTAACCAGGTCACCCGAGGAGCCTCGTGACACCAGCACACAAAAGGACACTGGCGTCCACCCACTGGTGGCAGTCGGACAGGACGGATGCCTAGCTTCCCCCGGCCACGTGATGAGCTTACAGGAAAACTACTGGAGGACACGTCACACCTACAGCTCCGGAGAGAGGACAAACACACCTGTAAGAGCTCCAGTCATTTTCAAAGCTCAGGATGTGGGAACGTGTCGGATGCCTTGGCAGGGGAAGTAGGCTCAAGCCCCTCACTAAAGGCTGAGCATCCTTCCGCCAAACAGGATTTTAAGGATAAAAGGATTTCACGTTGTATTTCTTTCTTAGAAATTCATAAAATTACAAATGAAATGCAAAGCCCAACCTTTCACGGTGGGGTACTCAGCGATCCAGCTGCGGCAGACGCTCCTGGCTGACCCGACGGACACGCACGTCAGCACGTGTCCCACGGTGGGTCGAGGGGGAAGTTCTGCACAACAGGAATTCAGCTCCTGGACCCTTAAATGTGGGATGAGTGTGGCCATGACTGTGGGCTATTCCTACGTGAAAGACAAAACCCACGCAGCTGACTCAACACGGTGCCCTGAAAGTAACCTCGGGACCGACCAGGTGGAAACGCCTCGCTCCGTCTTTTTCATGCCACCTGTCTTTGGAGAATTTTCACAGAGGGGAAGGGATGTGTCTAATTTACTTGTAATTTTATTCTGTGAAGGAAAGGTCCACAAAAATTAATGAAAAATGTAAAACTGAAAGTTAAACCGTTTTCCCGTTGCACTTCCCTGCTGGGATGAGGTTCGGCTTTCTGTGCCGTCGGCGCCACCCCAGATTCAAGCCACCCGCCCGCCCGCTGTCCAGCCGGCCTGATAGGGGGGACACTGTGGTCTCCTCCACTCCCATAGTCTCAGCAAGGGGGCATCCTCGCCAACCCCCGGGGGAAGTGAGGGTCGCCCCCCCGCCGTGCTCATCAGGGACCGGTGGTGGTGAGGCCGTGGGCAAGGCACACGGCACACACGGTGGTGGATGCAGGATGGGCAGCTGCCCTGGCAAAGTCTGGTGGCTCCTCAGAAAGTGATGAACCCTGAGCCACCGTGGGACCCAGCAGCTCTGCTCCCAGGTACACACCCAAGAGAAGTGACAACACATGTCCACACAAACAGCTGTGCAAAAATGTTCAGGGCACTGTCCACAAGAGTCAAGAAGTAGAAACAACCCGAATGTCCACCAATGGTTGAGTGAAGAAACATGCGGTGCGACAACTAATGTTTAGCCATAAAAAGGAATGAAATTCTGACCCAGGCTACGTGGACGGACCCTGAAAACACGCTGCTCAGTGAAAGAAGCCAGACACAAAAGGCCACATGTTGTGTGATTCCGTTTCCAAGAAACATCCAGAACTGGCAAAGCCACAGAGACAGAAACCAGGTTGGCGCAGCTGGAGCCTGCGGGTGGTGGGGAGTGACGGCTAACGGGTCCGGGGCTTCTTTGGGAGGGGAAATGATCTGGGATCAGATGGTGGTGATGGCCGTACAAATTTGTGAACAAACTACTGGACTGTGCACCTTAAAGGTGTGAATTCCACAGTATGTGAACCATATTTCAACGAAGAAAAAAATGCCCTTTCGTTATGCATATTGGGGACTTTTCTAAAGTATATGATCAGAAACGTGTGAACATATGAGTGCATTTTGTGATTAAGACGTTGGTTATAACTGCAAAAACCAGATACGATCAAGTATTTTAAAAACAGGACTAGTAAATTGTTTACAAACATGAAATATGCAGAAATTAAATTTTTGAAGAATTGGCTGCCGAGCAGCAAGAGCGCACTCCTGCTCTGCGTGTGCAGCCTCCAAACCCAGAAAGGAAGGAGCAGCTGCCCTTCTGGTGACCAGAGCAGTCACCACGGAGCACAAGACACAATGATCTGAAGGCTTTAAAGCAACTAAAGCAAGCAGGAATGGGGGTGGCAGGGTACTGAACCCCGGGGAGGGGCAGGGAGAAAGGCCCAGGCAGGTGGGGCAGGAATGGGGGGGGCGGTGGATCCAATCCTGAGGGGGAGGGGGGAGGGGGAAGGCCCCCCGCAGATGGGGCAGCTTTTCCCTCAGGGCCTCCCCTGCCCACCAGGTGTGTGGGGACACAGCAAGGGGCCGTGGTCACCTGGGCTGGGGGGTGGGCAGAGGGCTGAAGATGGAGCTGCCAGATGGCTGGAAGCCAAGGGAGACCGAGATCAGCACAGATGGCCACAGGCACCTGCCGCCCCCAGGCAGCCAGCACGGGGCTGAGCCGACAGAAATAGCAGCCCAGAAGGCGGCGCTGAGCAGGGATCTTGGTGCCCCCCCCACAGAAGGGCCTGCATTCCCGCACATGAGGGGGCAGCAATGCCGCCCCCCACCCCACCCAGACCAGGACTAGAGATGTGACGGGCGGAGGTAACCGAGACAGACTCCCCCTCACACAACAGAGTTCAGGAGACCAGCCAGGAGCTCAGCTGCTTCTGAGAACCAAGTCCAGCACTTTTCAGGGGAAGAGAGAGAATCCAACAGAATTCAGAGCTTCTGCCGTGAATAACCCAAAAGGTCCAACAATCAAAATGACTGGAATGTGAAGGAAGGAACAGAGTTTCCACAGTCAAGAGGAAAGGAGTGAGCAGAGGCAGATCCTGAGCTGACCCAAAGGTCAGCATCGGCCAGGATATTAAAGAAGCGAAGATGAAGGTGGTCAGTGAAGTGCAGGAAGAGGCGACCATGCGGAGCGGCTGGCTAGGGCACAGCGAGTAAAGGCAACTCCATAAAAAACGCATGTAGGCTTGCAATCCACTGCCTCTTGGCAATGAGAGCCCCCTACTTAAGATCCAGCAAGCCAGGTGGCGCGGCCAAAAAAAAAAAAGAAAAAAAGGAAAACTGCACCTGAAAAGCTCTTCTTTCCCCTTTACCTATAAAAAGTAGTACTAACTGAAATTCTTTTTCTTATATGGATTTGGTGGAAATAAACCAATTCGACTCACCTACAAACCAAAGTGACACTGAAGACGCATCACCGTCCGTTCTCCTGGACGGTGTAGATACAACAGGTGGGCACTCAAAAACAACGGCTGGTGTGTGTGAGGGACAAAAACGCCCGACAGGTAACGGTGGCCACTTGTCTACCAGAGAAGCTTCACTTGTACGTGGGCCTCCAGGTCCCCCTGCCCAGGAAGGTGGGCGGGCTCTGCAGGTGGCAGCCACAGACCCGCTGTGCAAATGGTACCTCTTTCCGCTCTGCATCCGCCTGGACTCTGGCCTGGGCCGCGGCGGCTTCTCGGTAGGAGCTGGCCTGCTTGGCCTGTTCAAACAACGTCTTCAGCTGCTGCGCGGTGCTGAGCAAGGAATTGACCATCTCCTCCAGGTACAGCCAGCTCCGCTGTTCCGACATCTCCAGCCCGCTGACCACAGCGGGAGACACGGCTTTGGTGGGGGTGGAAGGAGGCACCGCCAGGGCGGGCAAGGATGTCAACACTAGCGTGTGGAAAGCAAAACACAACAAGAACTTAACCCATCTCCTGGCTTCAACGTGCCTCTGCACGCTCATCAAACATGGGAAAGTAGGGTGGCGAACAGATCACACCCACGGCCCCCCTTCAAGCCCCCCGTCCATGGATGACACAACAGCTGCAGGTGAGGTGACCATAGCGCTTGTGCAGAGCCAGTGGGGGGGGGGGGCTGTTACATCACATAAAAAGTAAAGCAGGCGGAAGAACTAAAACCTCCTGGTTTCGTTTCTGCTCACACAGAAAGCCTTCGGGGACGTCTGTGGTCCCCGGGGGGCTGATGAGGGATGTAGGAGACAGGGTCCCCTCAGCTGGAGAAGAAAGTCATGGAGGCGGGAGGGAACCTCAAAGGGACACTGTTCTGGACGGGAAGTGGAAACTCGCACACGCGGACGCGCAAGGGCTCCCCACCCCTGTCCCGGTGGGCCTGGGGGCAGAGACACCCAGGCTGTGCTGCTGAATGTCTAACATCCTCCCAGAGAAGAACACCTGACTGTAGCGTCACCCGAGTCCTTGGTGTAAAAGCCCCACCAAGACCCGTTTCCAGCCCCCAGCTAGAGGTCACTGGACACAGGCTGCAGGAGACGCACGGGAGCCGGACGAGCGACGCCTGCCCCCTCGGCCATGGCCAGACCTTGCTGTGAACCCTGCCCCGCCCCCGCAAGGGCAGGGCCCTGGGCCCGGACATAAGGAAACAGGCAGCGTGATAGGGTGGACAGAGGACGCAGCAGCCGCTCGTGGGGCCCCTGCCAGCCAAGTCAGGGACCGTCCCAATACAAATCGCCCCAGCAACAGGTTGCAACACCCTGAATGGAACAGGAAGCCACGCGTCCATGCCGAAACAAGCAAACAAACAAGCAAGCAGACGGGGGACGGGTCGCCCAGGCCTCGCAGCCCTGCTCAGGGCACGGCTGACCGCATGGGGCGGGCACTCCCCATCCAGGCCCTGCCCAGACCCCGCAGTCAGCAGGGCCACAGCCCGGCCAGGAGGCTCACCAGGCCTGGGGCCAGGGTCTGAGGCAAGGTGTGGGGAAGAGGCAGAACGGAGGCGAGCTTTAAGGGTGGGAGGGGTGTCACAGCAAGAGGAGAGAGCGGTGAGACAAGAAAAGGAGAAGGAGAAGGGGCGTTTTCTAGAACTCGGGGACAAATTTCTATCTTGCTGTCTTGTCTCTGGCGGAAACTGTAAAAAACACAAAGGTCCACCAGCTGGGATTACGATGCTCCCTGTAAAAAAGTGTCCTGACATAGAAATGTGTCCAAAACGTGCCGTCAGTGACAAATTGCTCAAAATGCACACGTGGGGCGATGTCCCCGTTAAGCTTCAGGCGAGGCGAGTCGCAGACATGCACACACCCTCTCACCTGAGGCCACCCGGACGAGCGCCCTCACGGGACAGACCCCAAGCACAGTGTCCTGGTCAGAGCCTGGCCGAATCTCAGGCTCTGCAGGTCACAGGCCGCTACGTGAGCAGCCTCACCCCACACAGAAATGAGCAGCAGCTTCCAGTGAAACCTGCTTTACAAACACAGGCCTGAAGCCCCACACCCCACTTCACCTAGGAAGCCTTTCAGAAGGATGATTCTGCACATGACGGCCACTCGTGGAGAATTCTTCCACACTGACCTATTTTGGGATGAGATGTTGGCAACGCGGCCTCCGGAAACGGTGCGATCTGACAGCTGTCCTGATACCCTGGGTAGTGGGGCTCCGGGTGGCCGACCCTGCATGGGGGCTGCACGCCTGCTTCTTGTACTGTCAGGGGAGAGGGACATGATGGCGTGAGACCCAGCTGTGCTGCACGTCCAACAGGGCAGCTCCTGAGCCGCGGAAGTGGAGGACGTGAACTGTCAGAGGGACAGTATTTGGGATGTTCTGCATGAAATAAAACACAGTACAAAAGCCAGTTTCCACTGTTCCCTTTCACTTTCCGGAGGCGGCTACCAGAACATTCCACGTGCACATGGGGCATTTCTGCCCCCTGGCGCCCGTCTAGGCTCCGTGAGCAGCCTCAGCTTCTCAGGCCCTGGTCCCGCCGCCCCTGCCTGCGGGGGTCCCCACAGCTCCTGCCAGCGACCCGCTGGGGCCGCATTGCCAGGCGCTGAGACAACTCACCTGTGGCTCCCGCAAACACGTCGCCCTGGGCCGGACTCTCCGAGATGACCGCGGTGGCCTCCACGGTGGACGCTCGGTCGAAGGTCAGCGCGCCAGAGGTAGTGATCTGTCCTGAGGGGGTCACGGTGACTGGAAAAGCAGGAGAGCTGTCACCGCGTGCTGGGCCCACTGGGCACATTGCAGAAAAACCCAGGGGCCGGGGCGGGGTGCGCGGGGGCCACAGCAGCGTCCGCCGGCCCACAGCCACCTCTGCAGGGGCGGTGCCTGGGGGGGGCCAGAGACGCCCACCCCAGCAGACGCAGCTCCTGCTGTGTGTCCTGAGCACCTGGATGTACTGTCTCGTCAGAAGGCAAGAGATAAAATTTAAAAGAACGTAAGAAGGACTTTGTAGCTTGAATTAAGAAAAAGATTTTCGTCAAAACTGAAGAGAAAACACAGCGGGGCCCCCGGCATTCTGGGGGCTCTGTCTCCTCCTGCCGACCAGCCCCAAGGACATGGGGCGCCTCCCCTGCAGGAGCCATCGGGCTGCTGACAGCCCCTAGCGACCGGGCGCCTCCCAGGCCTCTCCCACCACCGCAGCCCAACTCAGCCCAACTCGCCTCCTCTCGGTTTCAGAAGCAGGCGCCTCCCCCGCCCCCGCCCTCCCTACATGTGCCCCAGCCGCGCCTGCCCCGGGGCGGCGAGAGGGCCTGGGGGCTGCGCGAAGTGAAGTCCGTGCCGAGGACAGGCCGGGACCGAAGAGGCCAGGGAGCCCCCATGAGCGGCAGCCGTGCCTGCTTTTGACCCAGACCCCTCGGCCACACGCGTGAGCAGGACACGCTAAGAGCATGTCGCGTGGCGACAGCTGCTTCACTGTGACTCACAGGTGGTGGCGGCTGCGGCGGGAAGCAGGGTGATGTTCTTGGGGGCATCCTTCTTGACGGGTGTGGCGGGCAGCTCGCTCTCCTTCTTGCGCCTCTTGTAGGGGACGAAGAGCCTGACGGGCCCGCTCTGGGGGAGGGGGGGGCGGGAGGCAAAGTGAGATGCGTGGAAACGCCACCTGGGACTGTTCTCCAATGGCGACCTGCCAGGAGACATGCCCAGACTGCGGCCAGAAGACGGAACCGTGCAAAGCTCCCTTAGCTCCCTTTAGGCCCCAAACGGCTTAAAATAACAGAAAAGGTACTTTCAGAGAGAACGTGTGAATTAACAGCACTTCCAACAGGAGAGTAATATCGACACCGAATTTTTAGGAATCCCCGGAAGACAGAAAACAAGTGGGGACCAAGGAAGGAGAAAGGAGAGGGCCCATGGGGAGCAGGGGGCGCCCCGCAGACCCTGAGGCCCCGACACGCGGGAGGAGAGAACCTTGATGGAGCAGAAACAGCAGGAAAACGTGAAGATCAGGTGAGCCTCCCAGCTCACGCCCAAGACCCCTGTGGGCTCGCTGGCCCTTCCTGCTGCCCATTCAAACCTGCTGTGGACGCGCAAGTGAGCTTCTGTCCTACACGTCAACCCCAGAATCTCCACCGGGCTCTCCCTGGTGGCTCCTCCCTTTACTGATTTTCTCCACGTGTTGAGACGTTGCCGTCACCTTCTAGGGTAAACTGTGTCCTCAGGACCACCTGTGAGGCCCTGACCATCAGGGTGGCCGTATTTGGAGTAAGGAGGCAACGGGGGTCTTGAGGGTAAGGGCCCTGACCCGCCGGGATTAGTGCCCTTGTAGGAGCAGCTGAGTAAGCGAGAGCCTACAAGCCAGGAGGAGCCCCGCCAGGAACACACCAGCACCTTGACCTGGGCTGCCTGCCTCCACAACTGTGAGAAAGTCAGCGCCCGCTCCTGAAGTGCCCTGGCCTCCTGCCCAGCCCCCGCAGACTGAGACCCGTGCTGACGACGCTTTGACGTGTCTCCTTCAGCCCCGAAGACACAGAGGCTGCTTGGAAGCCTCATCTGCTGCCCCCACCACGGGCAGTGCCTGCGTCTGCTGCTTTTCTTCTGTGTGGTTCACATATCCCTGGCCCTTTACATGTCTCACAATTTTTGCTGAAACTGGACATTTTAGGTGCTGTACTGAGTGGCTGTGCAGATGACTCCCCCTCCCTCCAGGGCTTCCTGGCTGCAGTCCTGGACAAAGGCCTCCAGGCGGCAGTGACCAAGCTACCGCACCAGCTGTTGGACCCAGCCACCTAACTGCTCTACCCTTTGCAAACGGCTCCACTGTCAGATCCAGTCACGTTAGGCTCCTGTACTGGGTGGCTTTAAGGACAAACCTTTGAGGAGGCTTCTCAGGGTGATCACTTCCCGGTGGGAAGTTGAGCCGGCTGCCCTCCTGCATTGCCGGCCTCCTCCCCACGGGCTGCCCTGGAGCAGGGCAGAAACGGCACTCAGGCCGTCAGCCCTGCTCGCCGAGCTGCTTGGTCTTCTCGGCTGGCCTCAGCTGCGTGGACCTCCACCCTAGGGGTGAGCGGGGCCGGGACGATGGAGCTTCCCTGGGCTGAGCCGGAGGGATGCAGGGAGGGAGCAGGGCCTGACGCGAACGCCAGACTCACAGGATTCTCCTGGATAAGTGTTTCTTTTTTTGTTGTATGCCCCCAGGACAATCTCCAGAGACCTTAAGTGGTTGCTTTTTATCATTTTCACCAGTTAGGGTTACTCGTCCGGGGAGTGGGTCCCTGGAGCCCTGCACAGCACCACTCCTGAGGCAGAAGCTGCAATGTTTCAATTTGATGAAGTCTGACCTATGAGTTTTCATTTCATGGATTGTGCCTTTGGTTCCATGTCGAAGAAATCCGTGGTCTAACCCTAGATCAGGGTAGATTTTCTTCTACAAATTGTAGTTTAGTTTTGGACACATTTGGCTGTATGATCCATCTTGAATTCGTGTGTATATAAAGTGTGATGTTTAGGTCAAGGGTCACTTCTACACCTGTGAGTGTCCGACTGTTCCCACACCTGCAGGTCTGTGTGTGGACGGTGGGTCTGCTCCTAGATCGATGGGTCCCCCTCTGCCAAACACGGTCTTGGCCGCAGAAACAATACAGCAAGTCTGACAGTCAAGTGCTGTGATTCCTCCACTTGTAGTCTTTGTCCTCAAAACCGTGTTGCTACCCCTTTCCTCTGCCTTTTGATATGAATCTTAGAATCAACTTGTTGATGTCTACAAGATCCTGCCGGGGCTCTGAAGAGACCCGTGTTAAACCCACAGACCAGTGTGGGGAGAAGGACGTCTTCACTGCATTGAGGCCTCCAGCCCGCGGGTCCACGTCTTCTCGGAGTTCTCTTGCTGGCCGTTTCTAGCTTCAGTACACACGTCCCATACATGTGCCGTCAGGTGACACCTGAGGGTTTCGGCGTTTGGAGTGACCGTAAACAACCCTACCAGGTACTCCATGCTTCCCGATGGGGCTGACCCCCCACTCTGCTCCTCTTACCCCTGAAGATCTCCAAGAATGTCACCTACCAATCTTCCCAAGCAAACTTTAAAAGTATCTTATTCTCACACAAATATCCTACTGGTCATTCTACTAGACTCATGTGTGATCTACACACGAACTAGACAATTTTAGAATATTTGGTTTTCCCACTCAACAACATCTCTCCAATTAAGTTTTCTTCCATAGCTGCTGCTAATTAACCAGGCGAGTAATCAATATTAAAAAAAGAAATCTCATTATGCAGCTTCCTAGTTAATTTTAGGACATTTAAAAATAATATTCAACAATAGAAACATTGAAACAAAACTGGTAGTCCACATATAACAAATTAGTATCACACTTTGAAAGCTATAGAGCAATATACGTTCAAACGAATGCAAATATCCCTTTTATTTAAACAGTTAAGAATTTAGAATAAGAAAAGACTTCGAAAGACATTAAAAGTTCTCTATATAAATCAGCTCAGTGTAGTATTTTTTATAACGTGACATTAAAAATGAAAAACATAAAACAGCACATATATACTTGTCACCATAAAAAAAAGTACAGTTAAGACGGTGACATTATAGGGACTTCCCTGGTGGTGCAGTGCTTAAAGAATCCACCTGCCAATGCAGGGGACATGGGTTCGAGCCCTGGTCCGAGAAGAGCCCACATGCCACGGAGCAACAAAGCCCCTACACCACAACTACTGAGCCTGCGCTCTAGAGCCCGCGAGCCACAACTACTGAAGCCTGCATACCTAGAGCCCGTGCTCCGCAACAAGAGAGGCCACCACAATAAGAAGCTTGCACACCGCAATGAAGAGTAGCCCCCGCTCGCCACAACTAGAGAAAGCCTGCACGCAGCAACAAAGACCCAACGCAGCCAAAAATAAATAAATGAATAGATTTAAAAAAAAAAAAGACGGTTAAAAAAAAAAAAAAGACGGTGACATTATAGGAGCTTTCCGTTATTTAAGAAAGTTTCCCTTAACGTTCTTTGAGCAGCCCCAAGGCCCACTTGAGGCCTCACTCTTCAGAGCCCACTTGAGGCCTCACTCTTCAGAGTAATGGTCAAAACCCAGAATTTGAGGGAGAAACTAAGCTGGAAGCAGCTCTGAGAGGAGCTGAGGGGAGCAGGGGCCCACTCACCAGGGTCATGTCATCACAGCAGGCGGCACAGGTGCAGGAGGCGGCATGAGGGTTTAGGATCCCATCCTGAAATTTAAAAAGTACCGCAACACGTGAGAAAGTCAGCTCTGAAGTGAGTCAACAGCCCCAGATCTCAACCAGTTTCACCCCGATCCCCCTGTGAAGGTAAAACCCCACCATTTCCAGAACCTTCTCTCGTACACATCTCTGCTGGTGGAAGCATCTATCTCTCCCCTGCCAGGGAGTGTAGGCGTGGTTTCTCTATCAACCTCCTAGAGCTAAGCCGGAAACAGCAACGAGGAGCCCTCTCCTCTCATGGATGAGCTCAAGGAGAGAGAAGTTAGGTGTCTTTTAAAAAGTCACGGGCAGGGGGCTTCCCTGGTGGCGCAGTGGTTGAGAGTCCGCCTGCCGATGCAGGGGACACAGGTTCGTGCCCCGGTCCGGGAAGATCCCACATGCCGCGGGGCAGCTGGGCCCGTGAGCCATGGCCGCTGAGCCTGCGCGTCCGGAGCCTGTGCTCCGCAACGGGAGAGGCCACAACAGTGAGAGGCCCGCATACCGCAAAAAAATAATAATTAATTAATTAAACGTCACAGGCAGAGTTACTCAGTTTTCCTCGGTCTCTCCCATGTATACGTGTTATTAAACTTCCGTTTGATTTTCTCCTGTTAATAAATAAACAAAAGTCACACGCACTCAAGCGGAAGCTGTTACGCTGCCTCATCCACTCCTCACGGCAAGGTGTGGAGCCAACACCCTCAACATCCCATCTGAAACATCAGGAAGCAGATGGAAAGGTGACGTAACTCACACAGCAAGTGAGCGGGGGACTCGAATCCCATCTGATTCCAGCCTGTGAGCCCTGGAAAGCCCTGCGGCCGATGCTCCAGGAGCCGGGCCTGCGGCTTGCGGCTCTGAGCAGGGAGGGTGGGGAAGCGCGGCACCTGGGTACCTGGATGAGGCACTGCAGCGGCCGCCCCGCATAGCGGATGCTTCTCTTCCAGTCTTTGCTGCTGGCCCTTCCTGCCATGGCTTCAAACTCGGTAGGACTGTACCAGTTCTCCCCCTGCTTAATGCAGCGCCCCCGGCCTCCTGAAAGGACGAAGCCACCCGCTGTAGTTCCCGCTGACACTGGGCCAGGCCCATCTCCCCTCCCGCCCACTCCCCCTCGGTGTCCCGGGCCTGCCTGCTCTCAGCCACTCCCTCGGTGCCCCACGGCGAGCCCACATCTGCAGGCAGCGCTTCCCACCGCATGCCTGAGCCCCGACCTGCTGTCCACGGTCACCGCACACTCCACCGTATCCCACACGGAGCTCATGACGTCTTCCCACTTGCAGAGCCTTCTACCTACGGGTCGCCCAGCTGACCCAGGACCTTAGGGAACAAGGTCCAGCCCTGCTCCTACCACGGGCCACCCCATTCCTCGACCTGCCCGTTTGCTTAACTAGTTTATGCGTCATTATGGCCATCCTTGGCCCCAACTTACAGTGGGGGATGCAAAAGGAAGGCGATCCGCAAAACAAAATAAGCAGCAGCCTGGGCCCACCCCACGCAAGCCCACCTGGGCCCACTCTGTGCACAGCTGGGCCCACCCCGCACGCGCCCACCTGAGCCGAGCCTGCTCTTATACAAGGTGCCACTGATGTTCCGACAGCGCACAGGCAGCTCACTGTCGTACACCGATGGGTCCCAGTTGTACTTAGTTCCACCTTTCTCTTGGCCGGGAGCCAGAGGAGTCGGAGGAGACTGAGGGCCTTGAGCAAAGAAAGCATCATGAAAATGAGAGACCCTGAACGCACCCCAAATAACAGAAAGGCACAAAAAACATCTTGATTCTAACAGGTTCTTCCCCCAGCTCAGCAGCATCGCCCCCTGCAACTCTGGGCAACTCTTCTGTTGCCTGAAAAAATCCACTTTTTATACTTAAACTAAATAGTATTTGAAATTTGAAATTCACCACAAGATAAAGTTCACCCCCAGGATAAACTCCACCAGCTCTCAGAGCGTTTTGCCCCCGAGGCCTGGAGCAGGAGGGCATACCGGGGGTGAGAGGGGCAGTGGGTGCCTTCAGCCCGGCGGTCTCCACGATGCTCCCGTCCGTGTGCACGACGATCAGCGTGGCCTTCTCGGTGTTCAGACTGTCCCCGATCTGAAGGGCTGTCCTGCCCGACTGGGGGAAAGAACACCAGTAGTCGCAAGTGACAGCGGCTGGCGCACACCTGCACACCGGGACATGGTCCTACAGAGAGGTTCCAGCTGACACCGCCACCGGGGGGCCCACCATGCCTCATGCTTCTCAGATGCAGAGCCAAGGCCAAGAAGAGGCGACACTAGGTCTGCATGGCTCTGAGCGAATGCTCACATGGCTTGTCCAAGTTAAGGGATAAATGTGTTCCTGGAACAGGAAATGCCCTCCCGTCTGCCTGGGCAGTCTCTGAGGTTGCAGGCCTCAGGGGAGGGTTTCCGAGAGGCCAAGTTCATAAGCACAGCCAAGGCCCACTGCAGGACCCCTTCTCATGCCCGAGCCCACCCAGACACAGGGCTTCCCAAGCCACGCTGCTTACATGCCTCTCCACTGGGGCTGGATGCTGCCGTGACCGCGCCTGCCTCCTCTGGGCCAGCCAGAGGCCCCTTTCCTATCCCTGCGGGTGCTAAGCCCACCCCAACTGCCCACAGGCACACGCTCATGGCCTCACTCAGACAGCCCTGGAGTGGACTAGAGACCCCGGCGCACCCCGTCCACATCAAGGCCTGGGACACTCTCGTGCTTTCACGCTGAGGATAAAACTAAGACAAAGACCTTTTCTTACATCTGAAAATGTGGCCTTCAAACCAGGGGAGGTGAGTAGAAGTTTATCGTGGGATTGCGGGCCCTCCACCCGGCGTGCACATGCACACACCTGGCCTGCTCTCACAGGCCTGCAGGGTCAACGCCTCAGTAAGGGCGTCTACACTGCTTGCATCTGAATCACTGAACTCGTACAGCTCTCGACCGGAACAACAGAATGCTTTGTGTTCATTCGAGAACCACAAAGTATTTTTCTCACGAAGGCATGTGAGACATGTCGATACTTGAGACCCCCTCTCCTTGTCAGTTTCCAGAAGGATCACACTAGTTTCTGGGTCTTCTTGTCCTCAGAGCCCGCTGACTTGGGGCCGCCCCTAACTCCCCGACCCTCTGGCTCCAGCCCCTCCTAGAAAACGAGAACGTGACAGAGTCTGCTGTCAGGCAGGACACCGGCCAGAGGCACCACGTCACTGCCTGGCTATCAGCTTGTGTGCATCCTGATACCAGAAGAAATAAACCAAGACTCTTAGATCTGCACCCCTGAGCCCTTCACCAACCTGCTGCCCTTACACTCAGGAGCAACAGTTTTCTGTCTGTCTGTCACTATCTCAGTAACAACCACTTTGCTTTCAGGTGTACAGTGTCCCAGGTGCGTGATCCAGGCTAGAAGGAAACCGTGAGATCTCCCCTCCCCTCCCCTCCCCAGGCAGTCGGCACAGGGCAGGCTCAGGGTCTCTGGGGGACGGGCCAGAAGCGCTCCCGTGGCGGCTTACCAGCACGTGGCCCGAGAGCGAGGCAGCGCTCGCCACCGACGTGGTGAAGACATTGTCCGCCGAGGCGCCCACGTCGGCCACTGTCACGGCGGTCACCTCTGCAACACAGGGGCCTGACTCAGGGCCCAGCCAGAGGCCACTGGGGATAGGGCGAGGGTGGGGGGCGGCCCACGGTGGGTCCAGGTCAAGTACCTGAGCTACCGTGGGAGGCCTCACGCTGTACACGAAACGCCTGACCAACGTTTCCAGACCAGTCTGAATGATCTGGTCCTTCCAAGGACAAAAGGCCACCTCTCCCTCTCCACAGAGCCTGCCACGCACAGTGTAGACCACAGGGCACGCCTGCCCTCACGCACCCACTGAGCTGGCCACAGCTCTGCCCTGGCATCTCGCTCCCTTCTACTTAAAACCATACCCCAAAGAGGCCCCTAAAATCCTAGAGTTCCCTCCCTTCCGGTGGGGATCCTCCTGGCCCCTCTCCTGCAGGTCAGTGCAGGAAGGCTCACGTCTACCCCTCCCTCCCCTTCCTTCACCCCTACCTGCCACGGACCTCTTCCTCCTGAAAAGCGGCAGACCTGCCTGTGCCCACCCCACGCGCCCCCCAACTCTAAGCCCGGCCCCTCCCAGCAGTGTCTGTACATGGGGGCGCCACCGCGCCCCGCCCCCCGTGCTCCCCCCACTGCCCATGGCCCACTCCCAACGGGCTGCCCCGGACAGCCCTCCCTTGATGCTCCCCCAGCCACCAGGGGTGGCGCTGCCTTCCGGAATGTCCCAAACCTAGAGCGCCTGTGGCCTGGGGGAGGTGCTCAAACTGACCGAGAGTCCTGCACATTCCATCAGCCCGAGCTCACTAAACTGCTCTAAAAACACCTGCTCCCCATCTGTCTCCTCCACCGTGTCCCAGGGAGCCCGGGCCCGAGGGGTCTGAACACAAGCTCAGGTCTAAAGAGCTCGCCAGCAGCCCGGGAGGCAGCCTCAAGCCAGCAACGTGTCCTGCTGAGTTACAGAAACCCGGGAATCACCTGGCCTCGGTAATTCACAACCAACAAGTTTTAACACACTGGAAAAACACAAGGATAAAACTCTGCAGGAAAGAAACACGTGATGTCAATACGTGTCTCCAACGTGTGAATAGCATCACATTCCCTTTCTGCATTCAGAAAAACACGTGCAAAAACAACACAAAGCTGAAGAAAAACCTCACCATCCAAGATCTCAACTTTAAACCAGAGTTTAGCAACGAAAATGGAACCCTTTAAGGGCCACAAAGCCTTCTTTCCCTGCCTTTTGCGAGGATCCCGGACAGACCACAGGCACCGGGGCAGTGAGAGAACGGGCTGCAGGCCCCACGCAGCTCCTCCAGGGCCGGAAAAACCGGAGCACTGGCTGGGGAGGCCGCTGTCCAGTTCTGAAACCCATGAAATTCCCTAGGGGAGAAGAGCCTTAGGATGCTCCCCAGGGGTTCCAGTGCCCGGCTCTGCCGGCCACACAGGAGCCCAAGTGGGAGAGAACAATGCTTAGGAAAGTCTCTACCTCCTTCGGGACGGTGCCCCGGCGAGACACAACCTCTAAAGGGCGCTTTGGGGCATGGCTCACGAACCTTGAAAATGAGAATGTTCTGTGCGGCAAGAAAAGCGTGGGCCAGCAGCCCGGGTGGTGCCCGAAGAAGGGAAGATCCGTAAAGGAGGAAATGGGGGGCCCCACGGACAGGCCAGAGGGGACTGCCCCCAAAGGCTGCGGGCCCTCCCAGACTAAGTGAGATGCCTTGCTCCCCAGGGCTAAAGTCACACCTGAGCAGGCCCTCAGGATTCTGGGTGACCAGATGCACCCAACCCCGGGCTCCTCCAGGACAGGACCCGTGTCTGACCCCTGTGTCACCAGCACCCAGGACAGAGGAGGAGAGGACACGCAAGGCAAGAGGCAAGTGCTGAGAAGGTTCTGGAAGTAGCGCAGAGCACTGAAAGGAAGGAAAGGAGTTCAGGGAGCAAGTATGCGGCAGGGCAGGGCCAGGATGCTCCCATGGGGCAGGTGTGCAGGGACCACACGACACACAAGGTAGGTGCGAGGCATGTGCTGGGGGAGGATGGGTGTGCCAGTCAGCCAGGCGTGGGCAGGGCAGGTGCGCGTGGAGGACAAGTGTGAGGAGTGCGCGCGGAGCAGGTGCCGCCAGGTCATGCGGGAGTGTGCGGGGCAGGTGTGCAGGGCAGGTGTGGGGCAGGTGCGGACAGGTGCGCGGGAACCGCGGGCGGGCGGCACTTGCCTGCGAAGGCGGCGGCCGCGGCGGCCTCGTCGGGGCCAGGCAGGGCCTCGGCGCCCATGTCCATGTGCCCGGGCTCGGCGGCCATCACCGCCACGGCCGTCACCCGCCGCGTCTCGCGCTCCGCCTCCGAGTCTGCGTCCTCCTCCGAGTCCTCGTCCCTGCTGAGCACCGGCTCCTCCGCCTCGCCTCCCGCCGCGGCCGCGGCCGCCGCCGCCACAGCGGCCGCGGCCGCCACCGCCGCCGCCTCGGCCAGGCCCAGCTGCTTGGCGGCCGAGTCCGAGTCCTCCATCCGGACTCCGCCGAGCCCGCCCGAAGGCGACGGCCGGGGCCGCCCGAAGGCCGGGACGGAGCCCGAAGCGCGCCGCCCGAGAAGGCCGCCCGAGCCGGGCCGAGCCGGGCCGAGCTTGACCGAGGAGGGCTGCCCGAACCGAGCCGAGCTGAGCCGAGCCCGCCCGAAGCCGGCCGCCAAGCCGAGCCGGGGCCGCCCGAACAGGGGCCGAACCGGCACGAAGCGGCCCGGTCGAGTCGAGCTAAGCCGAGGCCTAGAGTCCGGAAACGAGGGGGGCCGAAGTGGTCCGAAGCGCGGAGCCGAGTCGGTCCGAATTGGTCCGAGGCCGCACGAGGGTTTCCGAGAGGCTCTGCGCTAGCCCTCCTCAGGGCCTAGAAGGCCGCGCCGGTCGTGGTCCCCAGTCATCGGGGTCCCCTACTGTGAGGCCGACTCCGCCGGACTCCGACGCAACGCGACCCGGCCTAGAGAACCTTGCGCTGCAGGCTCCGCCTGCACCCGCCGCCCGCGGGAGCCGAGCCCGCCCGAGAAGGAGCCGAGTGGAGCCGAACGGTCCCGAGCCGGGATCCTCACGAGCGAGCCTCGGCTCTCCGCCTCCTCCTGTCCGAAAGTGCCCGAGCGCTGTCGGACGGGCTAATCGGGCCTCGGCCACAGTTCGGGATCAAGTCCCGAAACGCGACGCCGTCGAGCCCGTTCGGGAGCAGAAGCGAAAATGGCCGAAGGGGCGCCGTTTGCGTCCGGCTCCGAGAGGATGCCGGGGCCGCGGGGCGGGCCGCGGGGCGGGCCGCGGGGCGGGCCGCGGGGCGGGCCGCGGGGCGGGCCGCGGGGCGGGCCGCGGGGCGGGCCGCGGGGCGGGCCGCGGGGCGGGCCGCGGGGCGGGCCGCGGGGCGGGCCGCGGGGCGGGCCGCGGGGCGGGCCGCGGGGCGGGCCGCGGCAAGATGGCGGCCTCGCGGCGAGGTGAGGGGTAGGTGCGGTGTCGCGGAGGCCTAGGGGGTTCTCGGAGGTCGCCCCGGGAGAGGGGTTCGGTTGGTTCGGTTCCTCCTGGTGCGGGGAAGGCCGAGCTGCGGGCGCAGCTCGCCGGGGTCGTTAACCGGTGGACTTCATGTGTCCACAAGGTGAGATCCTGGCCCGGAGAACCCGTCCCGGGTCCGCGCCGCCGCTTCCCGTGAACGCGCGGGGCAGTGGAGCCACGGCGGTGAGGTCACGGCCCCCCCGAGGGGACGGTCGGCGCCCCCCGACCCAGCGGGCCGGCAGCGAACGGGACGGGCTCGTCCGGGGCCGGCATGAAGGGGACACCCCGGTTTGGAGTGGGCCCCGCCTGCGGGCCCAGTGGGACCGGCTTCTGGAGCGAAGGTTTGGATTCCTGCCGTGCTTGCCGGCTCACGGGCTCCTGTCTCGGTGGCGCCCTGCGCGGGGCGGCGGGGGGCCGGCCGGTCGGCAGCCCATTCGAAGTCCTGACCGCTGGGTCTGTAAGAGCCCGCACCGCACAGCTCGTGGAACCAGAGCGAGGTACGCGGGCGGCCCCGGGCGCTCACTCGGCCGGATGGAAAAGGCCAATTTCCACATCTCAGCTGTCAGGCTCCGAAATTACTCGTGCGAGGAGAGGCTGGGACTAGACGGGAGCGGTGAGCTGGGCAGCTGACAAAGAAGCAGACTCTGTGGTCTGAGCTTCAGACAGTTTCCCGGCACCGGGGTTCCCAAGCGCCAGACCTTTGTGCAAGGCCACGGGTACTGTGGTTCGCGTTTTCATTTGGTGGAAAATTACGTTTACACCAGAGCGATCCGCTTCACACCCCTCGTATATCACCCAAGGAAAAACATTCTTTCTCTTTGCTTTCACATTTAACTTCTGACGGCCACATTGTTATTACAGTGAATCATTGACAAAAAATGCGAAATTCTAAAAGCCACGGTTATCTTTAGTCAGAATGAGCCTCATTCTGTAGGTCTGAAATCGTTAGCGCAGCATATCTAATTGTAGCTACCCTTCATGTCAATTATTTAAATCCCGTGGCGCTGAAGGTTTTTCAACAGCATTTTTTCCCTGAGCCCCATCATCTCAAGCGTAACAATGGGCAGCTGGCAAGTAGATCTGAAGTTCTGAAGCGAACTGTCAAGAGAAGGGTCAGAAGGGAGCAAAATCCCGATCAACGTGAAATCCACCCAAATAATGACAGGCATCGAGGCAGCCTAGTTTAGCTTGGGCCTGGGAAAAGAAGGGATCGGGTTTAGAGAGCACCCTTCCCATATCGCGATGAAGGTTTATTAATGATCTGTGCTCGGCACCCTCTGAGGCTCCCCGTGCTCAGCACATGCTGCCTCTCCATCACCCGTGTCCTGTGCTGACCCATGTAAGACCCCCACCTAAGTGAGACTCCCAGAGGACCTCGAATCTGCCAAGGAAGCAAAGGCTCACCCAGGCTGGGAGTTTCTCTCTTGCCCCCTGGGGACTAAGGAGGAAATGGAGTAGGAGAGAGCACCGTCCTACTCGCTGCTGGCAAATTCTGAGTTGTTATTGGCGCGTCACCGTACACTGTCATCTGAAGACGCGGGCAGAATGTGTAACTGCTGTGTGGCGGGAGAGGGTTGGGAAGGGACTAGATTGCTGGCTTAGGAGATTCTTATTCGGGGAGGGATATTTGGGGCCATGAATAAAATTCCAGAGGAAAGCAAACGTCTATTATCAATGACAGAGACTTGTAACCTGAATCAAAAAACGTTTTCATCTATGTACGTGTGGCAGATATGAGATGAGAAAAGCTGTGTGTCTGGTTTCTCTCCTGGCATCTGGCCTCAGGTGTGGATCTGGGCTTCGCCTGTGGGTACGCCCTGACTCCCAGCCTCAGGTTCAGAAAAGCAGATGGTCAGATCCTCCCTGGAGGGACAGTGGGTGCAGAGGTGCTGGAAAGGAACCTAGCTGCGGGCCATAAATCCGCGGCAACAGGAGAACAGGCTGCTGGAGCATCCTGGTAGGACTTGGGACCTCTCTGACTGTACCTTCTCTTCCAGGGAGAACTTCCTCCACGGTGGTATCCTGCTGCTGCATCCCTGTGGCCCTCCGTCAGCCCAAGACTCAGGCCTCCCAGGCCCCTGAAGTCGGCTCTCCCGCTGCCGCACCCCTGTGGCCCTCCATCAGCCCAAGACTCAGGCCTCCCAGGCCCCTGAAGTCGGCTCTTGGCCCCTGCCTTTTGCTGCTTTAAGCCCCCAGCCCCCAGCCCTACCTTCCCTATAAGTTCTGAGTAGTCATTCCACTGAGTGGGAAGGGCGTCCACTAACAGGTGGAGAGAGTTGATACAACCTCCTCCGCTGGTGCCTCCTGCCCAGCCCCTCGCCGAGGGGTGGCTGCCTGACTCCCTCCGGGCCCAGTGGGGCAGGAACGCAAAAACCCCTCACTTGGAAAACTTACAGACTTGTTTTAGCGTAAACAAATACAAAGTGTTCAGAGCTCAGGAAAGTTGCTAGTGGGTATTAAACTGCCCCCCAAAAGAGAGAAAGACATTTTCTTTGAAGAAAGTGAAAAAGGTCACTTTTTGCTCTCAATGTTATAACTGGGACCTAGGTCAGGGTGATGCCACCTGAGGAAGCCTGGGGTGCCGAGGCCGTCCTGCCTGCAGTCACCAAGGATGTGCCCAGTCCTCTTGCTCTAGGCTAGGATGTCCCCTGGGGGGAAGCCCCAGCCCCACCCCGGAGCCCACAGGAGCCCTGCCAGGTGTGGTGGCACCAGGAGGGGTGTCAAAGGAAGCCAGGCAGGGGGCCATCGGCCACGTCTTCATGGCCACCCGCAGGTGCCTGGGCTGGACCCACGTGTTTGCAGGGCCTCTGGACAGGTGGCGGAGCAGCCCCTTCTGTCCACTCTCCCCAGGTGGGTGTCCTTGGGCAGGGTCATTTGCTGGGCCTGAGAGTCCTTAACCGCTGGCCAGCTCTCATCGCTCCCTCTTCAGATGCTGCTCTATCTGAGTGGAATGTACTATGCCCTTTATTTCCTAGCTACGCTCCTGCTGGCCGTGTATAAAAGTAAGTCTCGTGCGAAAAGGCAGCTCAAAGGTGTGGGTACCCTGTGTCCTGCAACAGGGGCTCAGCTTTGTTGCCCGTTTTTCTCCAGGCCAGGTTTTCACTTATCCTCACAGTTACCTGGTCCTCGACCTGACTCTGCTCTTTCTGATGGGGATTCTGGAAGCGATTCGGTTATACTTTGGTGAGTTGACTGAAAACCACATAGTACTTGAGATTGTTGCTAGGTTTATGTGTGAACCTTTACATGTTGATCATTTTGTAACATGGTTCTTAGAGACACTTTTGATTTAAACTGCTTACGCATGGTTTTGCAGGCCTCGCCTCACAGTGTCATTAAGTATTAATTTGTCCAGAAGCTTTGTCCACGAGACGAAGAATATTGGCCACGTCCTTGGTGGGGATGCTTCCTGTTTGGTAGCATGTTGTACACAAGCTGCTAGGTAACAAACAGCACTGAGGTTAGAACCCAGCTCAGTCATCAACCCTGGGGCCCTAAAACACTCACCCCCACCTCCTTCCTCCCCTTCCGTTGGCCTCAGTGGTCAGGAGGAGAAGGATCTGGAAAGTTCTGTCAGGACCCCACCAGGGCAGCAGGGCCTGGAGGGTGAAGGCTCCCTCGCCTCCCCAGTGTGGCTCCTGGAGGCCCCCAGCCAGAATCTTGCTCGGCCGACTCCCCTCACGTCCTGAAGCTCAGACAGTATAGGAGCCCCGAGAGAGCTCCCCCGCTCCCTCCACAGCTCACCATCAGGGCCCACGTCTCCCCATTCCCAGCCACAGGCACACAGACGTGAGCACACCTCTTCTAAACGGGATCACGCTGTGTGTTCCGCTGACGCGTCTGAGAAACGCTCCTGCCTCTGGAATGGCTGATAGAACAGCCGGCACATCCCGGGCCCCTGCACACGCACACCCTCGACACAGACGAGCCCATGCCCATGGGAGGGTGGCAAATGGCACTAGAGTCGCTGGGCATCCGCAAGTCCCTCACGCTCCAGGGGCACCCTGGGCACCGTGGCCGGGACAGCTGGAGATCAGCGTCTTCCATGCTGACCCATTTGTTTGTAAAACGTGCAGTTGCTTTGTTTTTTGTAAATGTGCGTGAAATTTTCCACGACGACCTTAGCCCAAAGTGAACTATTTTTGGAAATTTTAAGCAAAATCTTCTCAGTCAATGTGGAATTAGGAAGAGGTGTCAGAGTGCAGTTGGAATTGTCTTTAGAAAACCAAATCCCCTCTCCCACCCACACAACTGACCCAAAGACCAAGAGTAGAACATCACAGCCTCGGTTGGCTTTCTTCCTCACTAAGGAAGACATGCCCCTTTTTGTGTTTGCTTTCCGACACTTTGAAGAGTCCCCTGCAGTGGTCACAGTGGGATCTTTCACTCAAGTCCTCAAGCATCACATGGTGGTCAAAGCTGGCACGGGTCTCACGGCCACTCTTGAGGGGGTCAGCGCTCCCGGGCCCGTGCGTCCCAAAGCCCGGCGCTCACCCAGCACGTCTGTTCTGCTTTCCAGGCACCAAGGGCAACCTGATGGAAGCCGAGGTACCGCTGGCCGCCAGCCTGGTCCTCACGGTGGGCGGTGCCCTGCTGTCCGTCTACTTCCTGCTCTGGCAGACCCTGGTGCTGTGGGCAGACTCGGCCCTCAGCGCCGTGCTCCTGGCGCTCCACGGCCTGGAGGCCGTCCTGCAGGCAGTGGCCATCGCCGCCTTCGAGGGCTAGGTGGGCGGTGCCCGGCCCGCGGGACAGCCCTGGGCAGGAGACCCTCCTCAGAGCCAGACTGTGCCCCAGCCGTCACCTCCCCCACTGACGGTTGCTGAGCGGGAAGGACATCTTCGTACTGACCTGCCTCAGTGTTTGTTAGAGGGTCAGATGGTGTGGAGGGTCTGTGAGGCGGAGGCGGGGTCGGGAACCAGGGCAGAACAAGGTGCTGGGCAGGGGCTGGGTGTGGCGGAAGCAGGGGTGGGGCTGTCCCGGCCCGTCTGCAGGGAATCGCGGGGACATCTCGGGCTGGTGGGGGTCTGGCTTCAGCAGCCACCGACATCCGGGGTGCAGAGGGGAACGAGGCCTTCGGAAGGCAGGCAGCCAGGCCAGTGCCCTCGCGGTGTCCGTGGCATCTCCCTCTCAGGCCGGGATCGGCCATCCCTGCCCTCCCTGCAGCTTCGGGGTGGCACAGGGGCCAGGGGCCCTGCTCTGCGGGCTGAGCCCCGGGCAGGTGATGCGCTCTGCCGCGCACAGGAGGCGCCTGCCGAGGGCCAGGCAGCTCGGGGCTGGGCGGTTTCCCCTCAGCCGTGACACCTTTCCCCTGGGGGTTCTGGAGAAAGGCGAAGGTGACCTGGAAGCCCCAGCGCACAGCGGGGGAGGAGAGCTGGAGAGTCCCCCGTAGGGGTGCTGTCCGGGTCCCAGGCCCTCTGCAAGTGCTCCTGGAAGGGGTCTGCGCCGATGTTTTCTAGTGACTTCCCTTGGCCTCAATTTCACGTTTTCTAGGTCTCGAGTAACGTTGTGTTTGAGCATCTGGATAGTCTCTCTTCACGGTATTTTTAAATAAAGAAGCTTCTCTACCTCTCTGAACTGCTCCTGGCTGCAGCCACCTGTCTCCTCCAGGGTTCTCCCTTCATCCCTCAGGGCACAGGCCGCGTGCCCGCTGCAGGCCCCCCGCAGCAGCCCTGGAGCTGCGCTCCCCCAGCCTGGGCCTCCCCGGGGCTGGCCTCAGTGAGGGGGACTGGTGGGGTCATCCTCGTCAGTCTTACCCTTAGGCGGCCAGTGGGAGCAGAGAGCTCTCTGCTCCGCCAACTTCTTTAGCTCAGGACCAGCGTGCGCCTCTAGCCCCAAAGGCCAGTGGGGGCGCCCCCTGCTTACCCTCCTGTGCGCTCATCAGGGCCCCACCCCCTCCCGCCCACATGGGCTCGGGGAGGCCGCGATGGCCACACCTGCTGTCTTTGGGAAACTCAGCCCCTCCCCTGCAGACCCAGGCAGCAAGATACCTGTTGTCCTCCCGGTTCACAGCCTGCCCGAGAGTCCGGGCCAGGCCCTTGGCATCCCCATTGCTTTGGCCACGGGGCATACCACACCCAAGGTGGCCACCGAGCAGCCTGGGACTCGAGGCCCCCAACTGCATTCTTGAGGGCGTCAATGCTCCCAATCACGTTGATTTCAGAAGCAGAGAACTCCCACCTCAGCTGCTCCCCTCCCTGCGTGCCTCCCACGTTTTGCCCTTTCAGGCTCAGACTCCTGGAAGGGCTGGCGTGCCGTCCCCTCTGGGGACGTCGTCAGCAGAGGGGAGACAGAACCAGGAAGCCAGGCCTTGCCAGGGCTCTGCGGCAGGGCGGAGCTGGAGGACGAAGGCCACTCCCTGTGCCCCTGTGCGAGCTCACCAGTAACACCCCAGACAGGCAGGAAGGCCCTGGCGATATGGGGAGGGACAATGCCGCTGGCCTTCCAGGACACTGTGTCTCCTTAGCTGGGGCTCCTGGCAAACACCAGCTGCGCGGCCTTCTAGGACCATGTCCTGGCACACCTTTCCTGCTCCCCCCACCCCAGGACAACAGCGGGAGCCTTGGGGTGCCTGGGGGTGCCCACCACCACCTGGCCTGCCCTCCTTACCCAGCTTGGTGGGCACGGCCATCCTGGGGGTCAGTTCAGCAGGAGGAAAGACAGAACAACGGGCAGAGCTTGGGGCCTGGCCTAAAGCGGGGGTCACTGCCCGGAGTGCCCTCACACCAACGCTGCCCTGGCACTCAAGGACAGCATATGCCACAGGCATCCCGACGCCCCCCTCCCCGGCCGTGGGATAACCCCGCTCCTCAGGAGGTGCCCACACTGGGCTGGCCGACACGAGGAAAGAGACTTCAGGAGCTCCTAGATCGTGGAGGAGGTATCCCCGCCCCTGACCTGGCAAGCTCAGGGAGCTGGACTGCAGGGCCTCTGGCCCATGGTCCTACCTTTGAGACTCACTCAGACTAAAGCCTGGCCCTAGCGCTCCCTCCATACCAGAGGGACCCCAGTGGAAGAGGATGGGACTCGGCCCTGGGTCCTGGGGCACCTGAGGCTGGGGGCACCTGGCAGGGGCAGGTCTGACTTCCCCAGGACTCCACGCCACCCCTCTGGGGTGCAGGCAGCTGGGCTTGCCCCGGGTAGATCTCAGAGCAGCGTCGGGGCGCGCTGTCGCCCAGAGCACCCCAGCGAGGGATGGGCTCCGGGCCCCGCCCACCCGTCCACCAGCGCCCCCGCTTTAGGGGTGGGGTTTGCGCAGAGGGACCCGGGGGGCTGTGGGGACCGTCCGCGGGGAGCCGCGGTGGGGCGGGGTCTGGAGCGGGGGCGGGGTGGGCGGGGCATCCACGTCCCACCCCCGCCCCTGCCCAGTGCCCGCCCGCGCACGGTGACTCTAACCTGCCGCTCAGGTTCCTCCCCGCGCCCCGCCCCGTCTCCTCCGCGCGTCCCTCTCTCCTCTGGAACCAGGCTCCGACAGACGGGCGGACGTACGCCCGGACTAAGGGACCAGTGGGCGGCCAGGCGCGGGGCCGCGAGAGGAGCAGGTGAGTGCCCCGCCTGGCGCCCGCACCCGCTTTGGCCCTGGAGCCACAGGGGAGCCGAGCGCACGGAGGGCGGGCTGCCCGGGCCTCAGTTTCCCCAGGTGGCAGCGCGACGCGGGGCCCTGGCCTGGGTCTGCAGGCCGGGCCGGGGCGCATGGGGCATCGGGCGCGAGGGGCCGCGCCGGGCCCGCGGGCTTTCCCTGGGCTGGTGGCCGCAGCCGGGTTCCCGCGGCCTGGCCCGCCCCGTCCGGTCCTGGGGCGGCGCCGTGCGCTGGGGATGTTTGTAAGCCAGTGGCTTCTGAGTCAGCCGGCCGCCTCCCAGCCCTGGGGCTCGGTGGCGTGAACCCCCTCCTCCAGTGAAGCGGTGTTGAGGAGGTCAGCCCCTGCCCCTCAAAGGATCTGCACCACTGTTGCCGGGGCAGGCTGGGGGCTCCTCTGGCGTGCTAGCCGGCTTCCTGTGGGTCAGAGGCAGGCTGAAACGCAGGGCCAGGGAAGCATCGGGCCGGCGTCAGGCTCTCGGTTAAGGTTGGGGTGTGGGAGTTTCAGGGAGGAGGCTGGGGGCCGAGCTGCCGGGGCCTGTGTGCCTCCAACCTGGGCTGGGCTGGCCTGGGGCAGCCCATGTGCCTCAGGTGTCCCGGTGGCAGGGGAGGCGGGTGAGCAGGGCTCCTGGTGCTTCTGAAGTGCGCCACCGACCCCCTCTGCCCCACCCAGATGTGGTCAGCCCCAGCTGCGCTGGGAGGCCCAGCCCAGCTGGCGCCGCCTCTGCTCCCGCACCTCCCCCACGGCCTGTGGCGGGGCCTCTCCTGGCCCTGCCCAGTGCAGTCAGGGGTCCAGCGCCACCCAGCTCTCCGCCTGCCTCTGCCTCCCAAGTGCAAGCTCGGCGCCCTGCTCCCCACCTACAGCGTCCCAGGCGTTTCCCTCCCCCAACCCGCAGGGCCCAGACCTGGGCACAGCCAGAGCCCCAGGGTCTCCCCCATCCCGGGCCCCACCTGGCTCCCTGGGCCTTAAGCTGACTCCTCCCCAAGGTTGGTCAGCTGCGAGCTGGAATTTGAACTTGGAGCTGGTCCCTCTGCCCTCCCTGCCCTGCTGGGCCTCCTCCCCCTCCCCTGCCTGACCAGGCACCATACTCGGCCTTCCTTTGCACCCGGAAAATGGCCACAGTGAAACCAAAGCGCAGCCTGGGCCCTGGGGCCCTCAGGGCTAGTGTCATCCCCACCCCAGTCAGCTGAAGAAGCCCCTTACTCCCCGCTGGAGCCGGCCTGTAAGTGGCCTCTCCCCCAGCTGCTCCCCAACCCAGATGCCTGGACCCACCTCCCTGGCTGGCCCTGAGGCCCCCCACCCCGCCCCCTAGGGGAGGCCGAATGTCACGACCTAGGTGTCTGTGTGCTCACAGGCCTCGGTTTCGCCCAGGTGTGTGTGTGTATCTGGACACACGTGCCCAGCACCCTCGGCTCAGCCCGCCAGGAATCCCATTAAGCAAACACTCAGGCTCACCTACTGAGGTCATGAGCATTCCGGGCATTCTCCACGGACAGATGGACAGAGGAATCTGGCCAAGCCGGGACCCTCGGTGGCATGTGGGTGGGGGTAGCCTGAAGCCCCCGGGTCCCTCACACCTCCTGGGAGCCTTCCCTGTAGGTAGTACCTGGTCAAGCTACCAGGCACTGGTGCCCTGGATACCAGCACCCCTGGCTTGCGACCCAACCCTGCAGCCCCCTAAACACTGAAGCTGCAGACGGATGGCATCACTGGTGACATCTGATGTGGCACAGTGTGGACCCGGAGGTCCCCACGGAGCACAGAATCCCACAGGACATGTCAGCCTGGCCCAGGGGCACCAGGCTCTGCTCACCCCTCAGAGGGTGGGCTCCGTCTGCGCTTCACTTTGGGCTCTGGGTCCCCGGGCCCCCTACCCTTCGCCCTGGGCTCCAGCCTCATCTTTTGCTGCCTTTCTCCCTTGTCTGGCTCCCACCTGCCTCAGGGCCTTTAAACATGCTGTTCCCTCTGCTTGGAAGGTGCCTCTTCCCCCGACCCCCCTTCAGAGCCCCCAGGACATCTTCCTCGCAGCCCCACTCCAGACAGCCTCTGGGGGTGGGACCCCTCTGCTGGCACGTCCTGGGGGTCCCTGTAGAGGACCGAGGGTCCAGGGAGGGATGGGGCTGCAGTGAACGCCAGCTGGGCTGTGGAGCAGGGGTGGTCCTGGTGTGTCCGGAAGGCCGGGCTCTGCTTCCTGAGGACTGCCTGCCCAGGCACCCTGGGGAATCTGGCCAGGCCATCGGGACTCCAGGCCCTGGATCCAGGGAGGGATGGGGAGGGGACCCAGGCCCTGTGCTGGGGTAGCAAGGCCCCGGCCAGGTCACGATAAGGTGTCAGCTTGGCTCCCCTGTGCACTCAGGTGTGGGCCAGGCACTAAGCCCTGGACTCAGGCCACTCTGAGGTCTGCCCTCTCACCGCCAGCCACCGTCGAGGACGCCATGAGCCAATCAGGGTCCGTGAGCTGTTGCCCGGGTGCTGCCAAGTGAGCCCCCACCCCCACCCACTAGGCCCCCACCACCCGCTACCCACCCGTAGTCCCCAGGGAGGGGTGCGGCATGGGCCCCACCCTCACCAGCCCCTCCCCTGCAGTGGCAGCCTGGGCCGGTCTGACGGTGTGGCCAAGATGAGTGCCAAGGACCTGTTTGGTGAGTGAGGTTTGAGGACAAGAGGCCTCGGGGGCCAGCTCGGCTGGGAGGGTCTCGCCCACTCCCTTCCCCAGGGCTGTGCCAGGCCCCCACCCGGGGAGACGCAGGTCAGCCCTGGGCACCCAGAGAAGGCCCCTGGACCCTAGTCAACCAGCAGGTGCTCAGGTCCCTCCCCCAAACTCTGGCCACTGAATAGCCCTCCCCACAGTGAGCCAGTAAGGGGAGAGGCCTTACTAATAATTCAGGGAGCATCAATATTGATTCTCTGTGCTCTTCTCCGCCACCCGATCCTCCAGGGGCGGGGGCTCCTGCTGGACTGACTGCCAGGTGTCTGCTCTGGGAGGGCGG